TTCAAAAGTTTTCAAGCTTTCAGGAGTGCACGCTTATTCAAGATGCGGAACTGTTCAAAACCAGCATGGCCTTGTATCCGCTGCCGCAGCCAGTTATTGACATATCTCCTTTAGCTTCAAAAAATGAAAGAAAGAATTAAAGCCGAGATTAATCTGTGGTCCGCCAAAGAGTAGTTTGTTGAAATATGGCAAGACAGATGTAATCGGTTAATCACTTACGGGTTAACTTGGAATCACTATTACTAGTAGCATCTATTTTCCGTTCGTTTTCTCGAACTTGTACGATATTTTTTGATGTAAGAAGAAGAATTTGACACTCAATCTTATTTTTCTTTTTTTGCTACTATGATGTGTACTCTTCTTTCTTGCTTTACTTACCTCATTCAAAGGAAACCATTTGGTAGAGTTTTTCCTCTTGGCTGTCTTGCATAATTTTTTGTTAAGCTTTGACAAGAAAGTTGTTGTCATACTATTTAGTTTATCTTATTAACTTTTTTCAGTGGTCTGTTTGGGTGATGTTTGTTTAAAACATCATGTTATTTTAATTTTTCAGTAGTGTTGAGTTAAATTTTTTATATTTGATTTCTTTCTTCTATTTTTAAAATTGCTTTATTTTTTGAAATTTTACAAAGTTTAGTTTCAAAAGTCTCTGCTAAATAAAGTTGAATTTGATGAATTTTGTTTTTGGTTATTTTTTCATGTTATGAGAGAAATTAGCAATAACTGCAAATAGTTACGACAGGTACTTGGTTTAGAAATTTGACATAAATTGAGTATTGCTCTCTTACATGACTCGTTTTGGGCAGTTTATGCTTGAAGTTTTAGTCGGATAGGGTTTCATTCTTGTTGCATTTAGTGCTTTGTTTTTTATTCAGTGCAAAGTATTTTTGACTGAAAAGAGGAATAATTTGTTTTATAGCATTATCTTTCATTATTTATAAGGAAAGTTATGGTTAATTTCTTTGGAACTCTCTGTTCTCTTTTTTGCACTTGAATTTTCTGCTGACCATAGATCGTCATGTTGGTCTCGCAGTAAGCCGCTTTTTGTCCATTTGATTTGTTTTGTGAGCAAAGGTACAATAATTCTTTTTTGTTAATGTTTCGCTTGTGAGGTTGTGTACTTTTGATCTGATGCTTAGAAATGTTCTTTTGTTAAGCGGAATTCTACTGGTAATATTTTCCGATTACGGTTGACCGTTTGTGATTTAGTAGTTCTACGTTTTTAGGTTTAGGAAGTGAAGATGGTTTACTTTGAAGTAGCAGAGACAAACGGCCACTGGAATGTGCTAAATTTGTTGGTTGTTTTGGAGATTAAACGGTTTTTATGCATTATTGTTTGTTATTACCGCAGATAAATAAGCGATCAAGAACGCGGCTGGATATAGTTTAAGGTGGTATTGTATGCCCAATTGCTTGGTTCTCTGTTTTTGAGGCCATTTTCCATTTCAGAAACTTATGAAGCGTTAATAGCTTTTTGGAGAGTGGAACACTTAAGATGATAGACCTGATCAAAGATGGGTGCTAAAAGTTTGTGGCTTAATTTGCTTTTTTGTCAATTTTAACATTGTTGATTTTTAGGCGTTCAGGAGGGTTGAAGCTGCAGATTTAAAGTTTTGAAAGCTGTGAGTGAACTTTGTTGTGTTTTCAGTCGGTAAGGGGGGGGGGGAAATGAATCAGAGGCAGTGGGGAAAAGCATTGATGTTTTTTGATTAATGCAGGCACTCAGGGATTTTGGTGAGTCATGCCTGAAGTACCTTATTTCTTTTTTGTTTTTTGTAACTTGTACGTTTGATGACTCTGGTTGTTACGCTCAGTTTAGTATGGTTGTCAGACATTGTCAAGCAATCATTTTCTTAACTCTTATGCTTTATTATGGTTTAATTGAATATTAATTTGACTTAATAAGATTTGGAGGTGGTATGTGAGGTAGAAAACATTTGTTTATCAACCCCTGTTTTAAAGTTGACCGTAAGTCGCAGATTCTATTGGAAGTCAAAGTATCCTTGAACTTTTTCAGCAAATAATTTTTTTAGTCTTAAATAACTCGAAAAAATTGGCAGTTTAAATCAGCAGAAAATTTCAAGGCAACTCATAACTCCAGTATACGGGAGAGTGCGTGTTAGGTGGTGGATTCTGAGTTTTAATGCAGTAGGTTGTCTCCGGTCTATCTTAGGACGGGAATACTTCCTCAAATAACGCTGTCACTCTTGACGATCAAAAATTTGAACTTATGACGATTAAGCATCGTCATTACCTCATCACGTAGTTCCTACTAACACCTAATCAGAAAAACTGTAGTTGGAAGGAAATACGACTTAAGCTGCAAACGGCGGTTGTATGTTTTCAACCACTTATTCCACTCTTAGTTGCAGATCCGATAACAAAGGACATTGTGGTGCCATATTGTCCACCAGCAGTAGTTTGAGTACACTTACAGTTTCTTTCTGGTTTAAAATTCTTTCGACACAAATTTTTTTTTCTATCAAGCACTCATGTATTTATGCTTAAACATTATAAGAGTACGCTATAGTGTGCTGTATATACCACATATATTACTCAGTGTACCGCGATACTCTATAAACAAGCCCTTTTCATTTCCACACTACACCTGCAGATTCCGCTAAGAAGAAGTGCGTGACTGTTCAAACAGTTCCAGCTGTTCACGCATGAAACTCATTTCAGACGCCACTCCGGAACAGTTTTCATTATTTAGGATCTTCATTCTAGTGAAATCGTGTAGTCGTTAAGAAGCCTTATTAACGAGCAGTTGAACTATATTAGTCTGAATAGGGATAGCCTGTTGTTTATCTTGGCTTAAATTTTCTTTCGGCTACTCTATGTTTCTTTTGAAAATGTGGTGGTTCCGAGAAGTTTTTTGTTTGTTCGAGACATTCATTCTAAACCAGCCTGTGCTTGTTAGGAAGCTCTAAGGAGGAGCTAATCTTCTGTGTTGGTTGCATTGAGGAGTTTTAGGCCTACATCTTAAGTCATGTATCTTCTTTCACGCTATTTTCTGTTCTCGTAGGAGCGTGTAGGACGGAGTTTGTGATATTGCAGCGCCTAATGCGAGTAGACCGAGGAACTCTTGCACGTTTCTGCAAAACTGAACTACGATCATTAATCAAACTAGAACAGTTGGGTGGTTCGCTCTTGGAGGTTTCTACGGAGCGCAGGCTACTTCCTGTCTGAACGTAATGAATGAATAAAATGTTTTTCAAAAAAACAGATAACGTAAAGAAATACAAAAAAGGCATGTAACTCAAGAAGTCGATCAGTTATTTCTAGTCCGTCCAAGACGAGTAGCTCGTTCTTGGAGCTTTCTAATAAGGAGGGGCTGGCTTTGAAATGAATTTTTTTGGATGGAAGAAAAACTTTGAAACCGCACCAGGCTTTTGCGGGGAACATGGAATAGCTGGAAAAAGTAACATGCAACGCAAAAAATGAACAGTTGTTTTTAAAGAGACAAGCATATTTTAGTCGTCCGTTAATAAAGCTTTCTGATTTCTTATAGGACCAAGTTTCATGATGGAGATCTTGATCGCTTAGAAGCTCCTCAAGAGTTTTTTCCAAACAAAGCTTCATGTTCAAACAGTTGGGAGTGTTTGAGCAGACTTGCATTGCTTTTTAGTGGGATTTTCCAGGAATATTTTGGAATTGAAAAGACATGGAGAAATCCTTGTGAGTTTTTGAAAGCTTTTGTGTTCTTCTTAAAACGCTAAATCTTGTTATTTTGTAGAAACTAATTTTGAGAACAAGTAATGTCATGGCTTTTTATTGCGTCTTATTGAAAAGTGTTGAAAATTAACTGTGCAATGTACCGGTATAATTGACACTTGCTAGCGACGGTGGAAAATGCGGTAGAATCTCAAGTATCCGCGGTTTTTTTTTCTTTTTTTTTTTTTT